TAGATAATAAACCAGCTTATTTAACTTTTTAATTATTACTAGTGTCGCTGATCAGCGAACACGCGAATGTAAACAAACAGCTAAAAATAGGCCTAATTTGAAGATTTATAACTTTTCAGAAAATTGCTTGCAGACGAGTTTTATTCCTGATTACTTAACTTTAGTAGGTATAATTTCAAATTACATGCCTTTTGAACTTGAGATAGGTGCCACTTTTGAGCTATTTTAAGTAAAATATGAGCAATTTTCAGCCTCTCGTCGCCATCTTGAAAACATAGTTTCGTAAAACTATAAAAAAATTTGATTAAGCAAATAAAGTTGTTCAATTTCCATGAAAACGAGAGTATTAGTTGTTAATCTGCATGTGAACAGTAACTGGAGGGGATAAACGCATCACAACGTTTTCAAAAAATCAGATGAATTCTTGTAAAATTACCCTTCATTTCCGGTCTGAAAATACTCTCGCAAGGTCAAATTTCAACATGGGCTATAACTCCTGTAAAACAGAAAGTTGAAACGTTCTGAAAGAAGCTTGATTAATATTGACCAAAGTCTAGTTCATATGCAAAATATGAGCTAAATCTATTTTTCCTTCCCGAAACCAGTGGGTGGATTTTACTGAGAGGCCCTCTTAAATTTTGTATATACATGCTCGCTTGGATTATCCACTAAACCCAGCATTCTAGTTCAACCAAGTGAAGTGAAAAACATCTTTCAAGTTCACCTTCATCACAACCCACATACCTGAAAATGTATATATACTGTACATGAACTTGTGGTTGCAGCTCGACAACTGACCTAAGTAGCTTAGTTGGTTAAAGTGCTAGATTTTGCTACACCGGAATTACAGGGCCGCATGTTCGATTCCTGCCAGAGGATCTATAGTGTTGCATTTTTCGCACCCGTTCCTGGTTAGGTCTGAAATTGTGTATACATATGCCCCACTTCGATTATCCACCAAAATTATGCCACTTAAAGGGTTAAATTGACAAATTTATGACTTGCATGTGAAATGATCTGGCATGTAGCCTATAGGTTAGCAATTTTCGTCAGGATGCATTTTACAATATACTGTATTTGAGTATTTGGATTATGTAACTGAAGTTGCTTACTTCATATTTTGTATGGTTCAAAAATTGTGAAATAAATATTCTATTCATTGTCCATTTTGGTAGAAATGCATCCAATGCAGATGCATGTAATGCTGTTGGAGTTGCTGGATTGTTCCACATAGTTTGTCAACAAGTAGATATTTTGCAGGTTGCAAACCTGAAATTTTATACCCTACCATATTATGAGTTTCCAATGGGCATCTTGTGAGCCTTAAATTCACGAAAACATAAAGGTATACATATTATATTGGATTGCACAAATGACATGAAGTTGAATGGGTAAACCTTCATGCCATAAACAATCATAAACCTTCATATTTAAATTGCTTTACATCAAGAGGTTGCAGCAGTTTCGTGGATTATATCTGAGTTCAAATCTTTTTTTGCAAACAAAAAGATAGCTAATATTTCAAGTGTGAGCAGTGAGCTACTGTAGAAAATGGCGAGCTGCAATTTTTTAAAAACAATGGAAAATAATACATTAATACAGTACGTCTATTAAGGACTAAAATCTCAAACTTTTAGCAAAAGAATGAATAACATAAAGGTACGATCTACTGTGTAATTTAAGATTAACTATATAACTTTTATAAAATGCATATTCTACCTGTGGAATGAAATAGCAATTCCACTGTTCGATGGCACTCTCCATACTCTTATTCGTACAGTTTTATGCCGCTCATTCGCGCTCAAGAGTGTGGCATTGTAGTTTTGAAGAATAAAAATAAAGCCAGGTGGGTGTTGCTCAATATGTTAGCAAAAAACTAAAATCAGAACGCTTTAAAACACTTTAAAACAGCCGAGAACTTCACAGAACGCTCGAAAACTAATGTGTTTATATGGCAAAAAATTCTCACGCGTTTTTTTTTGCCTGCTTGCGCCGCCATCTTGGATTTTGAAATATTTGTCGCGTCTCTCGAGCTCAGTCGGCGATCTGTGGCTCCTATATCTATGCGTTACACAAAGTAAGATAATTGAGATAATGTGTTCCAAGTATAGCGGAAACCTAATAATAGCAACAATATTTTAGGTAATTTTGACCAGATAATATTTTAACTAATTTTGACATTATTTTATGTATTTTGAAAGACGTAACAGCACGGTTACATTTATCTGAATCTTTACTAATTTGACCATATACGTTTTTAACAAACTAGGCGGAATATTGGATGCGCGCGGTTTCGGTACTTCGCTCTTTCTCCCCCGACCCCTAATGAACTCTACAACAAGGGTGATACTAATTAATTGACTCTACAACATTAGAGAGATACCAAAGCGTTATATAAACACATATTCAACATAGACGCCCGTAATCATTGATCGAATTATCCGATGAAGTGAGTGAAATTGGGGGGAACGTACAAGAAAGATATTCATTATTCTACAATAAGGGAAATACTAATTAACTCAACATCAAAAGAAAAACTAATTAATTCCACACCAAAAAAGACACTAATTAACTCTACAATGTTACGTTCGCGGGCGAGAACGAATAAAAATGTATGTCTGCATCTTTATCATCTTTACGTTCGTTGCCTTCCTTGAACAGACACAGCGAAACGCGCTGGCCAAGGAGGCTTTCTCGTATTTGGAATATCCTTCTTCTAAGTCTTATGAACTTTGCGACGACAATAAATCCAACAATATCAATTTACTCTTCTTGAACAACAACAACAAATTACTATTTCTAAACTTTTCTCTGATCCTTTTTTAATCCTTTTCCAACTTAAGCTTTCGCTGCTTATATACTGTCCGCAAGATATTTATAGAATATTACATAAATACTATTTTTAGATACTACGTAAACGATAAATATAGCAAAAGCGTGATTCCGCATAATGACGGAATGTCTTAAATTAAGAATGTTCTGACGTGACTGACTTCACGTCACAACAACAAAAGAGATATTAATTAACTCTACAACAAAGGAGATACTAAATCACCCTACAAGGGAGATACTAAGGAACTATACAACAAGGAAGATAATAATTAACTATACAATTACAAGAGAGATACTATAATTCACTCTACAACAAGGGAGATACTAATTAACTCTACAACATGGGAGCTACTAATTAACTATACAACAAGGAAGATATTAATAAACTCTACAACAAAAGAGATACTAATGTACTCTACAACACAGTAGACACTGATTAACTCTACAACAAAGAGATACTAATTAACTCTACAACAAGGGAGATACTAATTAACTATACAACAAGAGAGATACTAATTAACTACAACAAGGGAGATACTAATTAACTATATACAACAAGAGAGATCCTAATTAACTCTACAACAAAGAAGATACTAATTAACTCTACAACAAGGGAGATACTAATTAACTATACAACAAGGGAGATACTAATTAACTATACAACAAGGGAGATACTAATTAACTATACAACAAGGGAGATCCTAATTAACTCTACAACAAGGGAGATCCTAATTAACTCTACAACAAAGAGATACTAATTAACTCTACAACAAGGGAGATACTAATTAACTATACAACAAGAGAGATACTAATTAACTATACAACAAGGGAGATACTAATTAATTTTACAACATGGGAGCTACTAATTAACTATACAACAAGGAAAATATTAATAAACTCTGCAACAAAAGAGATACTAATGAACTCTACAACACGGTAGACACTGATCAACTCTACAACAAAGAGATACTAATTAACTCTACAACAAGGGAGATACTAATTAACTATACAACAAGAGAGATACTAATTAACTACACAACAAGGGAGATACTAATTAACTATATACAACAAGAGAGATCCTAATTAACTCTACAACAAAGAAGATACTAATTAACTCTACAACAAAAGAGATACTAATTAACTCTACAACAAGGGAGATACTAATTAACTCTACAACAAGGGAGATACTAATTAACTATACAACAAGGGAGATCCTAATTAACTCTACAACAAGGGAGATCCTAACTAACTCTACAACAAAGAGATACTAATTAACTCTACAACAAGAGAGATACTAATTAACTATACAACAAGAGAGATACTAATTAACTATACAACAAGGGAGATACTAATTAACTATACAACAAGAGAGATCCTAATTAACTCTACAACAAAGAAGATACTAATTAACTCAACAACAAAAGAGATACTAATTAACTATACAACAAGGGAGATCCTAATTAACACTACAACAAGGGAGATACTAATTAACACTACAACAAGGAAGATATTAATTAACACTACACCAAGGAAGATACTAATTAACACTACAACAAGGGAGATATTAATTAACACTACAAGGAAGATACTAATTAACACTACAACAAGTGAGATATTAATTAACACTACAAGGAAGATACTAATTAACTCTATAACAAGGGAGATACTAATTTACTCTACAACAAGGGAGATACTAATTAACTCTACAACAAGGGAGATACTAATTTACTCTGTAACAAGGGAGATACTAATTAACTATACAACAAGAGAGATCCTAATTAACTCTACAACAAAGAAGATACTAATTAACTCAACAACAAAAGAGATCCTAATTAACACTACAACAAGGGAGATACTAATTAACACTACAACAAGGAAGATATTAATTAACACTACACCAAGGAAGATACTAATTAACACTACAACAAGGAAGATACTAATTAACACTACAACAAGGGAGATATTAATTAACACTACAAGGAAGATACTAATTAACACTACAACAAGGGAGATATTAATTAACACTACAAGGAAGATACTAATTAACTCTATAACAAGGGAGATACTAATTTACTCTACAACAAGGGAGATACTAATTAACTCTACAACAAGGGAGATACTAATTTACTCTGTAACAAGGGGGATACTAATTAACTCTACAACAAGGAAGATACTAATTAACTCTACAACAAGGGAGATACTAATTTACTCTACAACAAGGAAGATACTAATTTACTCTACAACAAGGGAGATACTAATTAACACTACAACAAGGGAGATACTAATTTACTCTACAACAAGGGAGATACTAATTAACTCTACAACAAGGGAGATACTAATTTACTCTACAACAAGGGAGATACTAATTTACTCTACAACAAGGGAGATACTAATTAACTCTACAACAAGGTAGATACTAATTAACTCTACAACAATTAAGGAAGATACTAATAATCTCTACAACAAAACTAGAGGAACTAATAACTCTACAACAAGGGAGATACTATAATGAACTCTACAACAAGGGAGACACTGATTAATTCCACAACAAGGGAGATACTAATTAATTGACTCTATAACAACAGAGATACTAATTAACTCTACAACAAGGGAGATACAAATTAACTCTACAACAAGGGAGATACTAATTAACTCTACAACAAGGGAGATACTAATTAACTCTACAACAAGGGAGATACTAATTAATTCTACAACAATAACTCTGAAAAAATGCGCATTGCAAATAATATCCCCCCTCAATCTATCTACGCAGAGGCACTGGATCATTGTTCCCTACCATCCCTACATGATTGTAGAGAATATTTGACACGGCTTTTTGAAGAAATAATTACGCTGTAATAAGTATAAATAATCACGTCCCTGCATGGCTGCAAGACCAACATACATAGTTTTATATAATTACAGTAATTCAAGTAAACTATTTTTCGGTAGAACAGTTTTTAGTATAAAGTAATATTCTATTTTACCACATAGCGTATGGTTATATATTCTTGAAAAATTGTCGATAAGACACAAAAGTTAAGCAAACTATCAAAGAGTTAAGCATTTGCACACGCTTAAATTGTAGAGTAAATCATCACCCTTAAATATAGTCAGCACACAAATTATACATGCATGCCACGCATTAAATGAACCATCATCATATGAACCTGCGAAAAATATCTTTGTATGGTTCAATTAAAGAACTTCATTATTTCGCTTGCAGTTTCACAGAAAAAGCAAAACATCGAAGTCGCTCCTTTCGTTTTATACGAAAGAGGAACACTTGACACCACGATCGCAGGGCAAATTTCATACTTTTAAATGACCGAGTAATTACCAAAATTTGTTTAAATGTTTTTATTCAATTTGAAATTTGAATTAGCACCTAAAAACGAATTTTGGGCTAATAGTGATCACTGGCTGTCAACATAAAACATTTGTGGCGTAATATGCATTTCCGACTAATCAAGATTGCAGATTCATCATTCAAGAGTCAAGCAAGATATGAAACAGCTGCCTGTAAAAAGTCTTCAATAATTTATTTAAAAGTTCTTTCAAGTACTTTAAAACAAGACGAATTAAAATTTTATTGCGAATGTCCTTTACTGATACTTAAGCACGGTAGTCTAATTAATAAAACTGCTTTTCACAGGGCTGTTCAACTACCTAGTAAGCTAATTCACCTACAATTACTCCATGCATGCTTATTATATTCAGATATACTTACAGTCATGCAAAACAAGTCACAAATATTTACAAGATATATTCCAATAGTCTGTTAAAGGCTGGTAAACTAACCAGTCATTCCATCGAAAGTATATTTGTTAGAATATTGTTCGAGAACGCTGCTCCTCGCGGTGTACAAAAAAACTAGAAATTTGTCGGCATTGCAAGATGGAGTTTTAAATTGTCGCTGCATGATGCGCAGTTGATATAATCATCATTAATAATACTTTTTTGGGAATAATATTAGTTTTGTATATACAACACCTCAGCTTTATGTTACCGTCTCCACCTACACTGGCACCGGCCGTTCGAGTTTTTTTCTTCTCAGGCGTTTTATAAACGAAGAGAAAAGCTTTCTGCATGTCCAAGGTTCCGTAGATGAAAGGATTCACAGCAGACACACCAAAAAAGTGCAAAATTTCAAACCACATATTATAATAGCTAGGAAAGTCTATGACGTGGCTCATACTTAGGATAAAAATGATCTGCCAAGGCAAAGCCGTCACACCAAAACAAACCACTATAATAAAACTAACTAAAAACGCGCGCGCGTTTCTATGCTGTTTAAATCTTTGGTACCATGATAGGTTTTGTTCATTTGAAACTGCAGCTGAAGCAAATAATAATGTTCTTTCTTTGTTTTGTCTCACAAGTGCAACAGATATTTTCCAGTACGCCACAGACAGAAGAACGACTGGAATAAAATACTGTATGGCCGCCAAAAGCAACGTATAGCAAATACTTAATTGTTCTACGGGCCATTTTTCCACGCATCCGCTTCTTGTGTTAAATTCTAAGACCAGAATATAAGGCAACACACAAATTGTAGCAAATATATAAGTCAACATAGTCATTACTTTCACTTTCCACCGGCTGATGGCAGGTCGCAATGGCTTCGAAACAGCTTGGAAACGAAGAATAGATATAATAATCATAAAGAGAATCCCAGCTGTGTAAAAAGCTGTATGTGTAGGATACCACAGTTTACACAACACTAGCGAGTTGATCACCGAGCTGCCAGTGTAAGCATTATAAATTTCCGATGTTGAAAGCACAAGGGTAAAGAAATCGCATATTGCCAAGTGAAAGACAACATAATAATGGTTGTTTTTAAGCAAACTTCGATGGCAAAAGATTACCAAAATAACCAGAAGGTTACCAACTGTTCCCGCGAAGGCAACAAAACATAGCATCGAACCAAGCAAGAAATCTCGAGGCACGAGGAATAGATCTGTCCCATCCTTCGATGTTGTATTCATTT